AGGGCCAAGAGTGTGTGCTCCCTAAATTTTCAGAGGTGGGTTCGTATTTAATGGCAAAAAGTAACAATTTTTTTGGAAGCCTCTGGATGCTGGTTTAACTCATGTTACTGCACCTCACTGCACTATGCTTCGCAGAGAATGCCTTCTTTACAAACTGAAAGTCTGTGGCAAGCCTGCGTCTTCAAGTCTCTTGGCACCAGTTTTCCAACATTTGCTCACCTCGTGTCTCTGGTCACATTCTGGTAATTCTCACAACATTTCAAACTTTTTTATTATTATATTTGTTATGATGATCTGTGATCAATGATTATCATTCACTGAAAGCTCAGCTGATGGGTTAGCATTTTGTAGCAATAAAGTATTTTTTTTTAAAGATTTTATTTATTTATTTGACAGAGAGAGACACAGTGAGAGAGGGAACACAAGCAGGGGGAGTGGGAGAGGGAGAAGCAGGCCTCCCTACTGAGCAGGAAGCCCGATGCAGGGCTCGATCCCAGGACCCTGGGATCATGACCTGAGCTGAAGGCAGACAGTTAACGACTGAGCCACCCAGGCACCCCAGCTATAAAGTATTTTTAAATCAAGGTACGTACACTGTTTTTGTAAGAGAAAATGCTATTGCACACTTACTAAATTACACTATAGTGTGAATGTAGCTTTTATGTGCACTGAGAAACCAAAAATTTCATTTGACTCTCTTTACTCCAGTGTTTGCTTTACTGCAGTGGTCTGGGACTGAGCCTGCAACATCTCTGAAGTATGCCTGTATTTCAGGATCCCATTTTTGTTTAGCAAATGCAGAGTTCCTCTCACACAAATCGAAGCATCACTGTTGTGCGGCAGAAGACATCAGCTACTACCACTAATTCCCATCCTTTTTCCTGCCTACCTCCACCGCTGACCTCTGAGAACTCTAACGTGAGCTCTTATGAAGTGGATTTCATCTTTTGCCCTTTACTCCACTGCTGCCAGAAAATCGCCTGTGATCTAAGATACTTAAATGAAACAGAATTCGGCTACAGAAAATTTTTCTAAGTAAGCAGATGCTAATGATTCATCCATCGTGTTTACAAAACATCAGCATCTGGAGGGAGGTAATCTAAGTGAAGCACGATATCATACTATTTTCATGCACCAACTTGTGTTTGCGTGCACATGGTAATTCAAATACAAATAAATGTTTGGAAAAATAAACAATTTAAAAATTAGGTATAATTTCAACAGAACAATAAAGTTTAGGCTGAAAGAGACCCAATTGAGAAAGCTGATCCCTCGCCCTGGAAATGCAGGTGGTACTACTAGCAGTTCAAAGCTCCCTGCGTGGACACGACCTGTGCCCCGAACACACTGACAGCTCCGTGAAAGCATGCATAAAAATAGATCCTCAGGAAAACTGGGCAACAAAACGAAGAACAACTTCATCTCTGGTGATTTACAATGATGCAAGGGCCAATTCCTCAAGATGTAACAATTACAAACATAAAAGTGTACCTGACCACAGAGCCTGAAAATAAGAGATGCAAAACCCAACAGATCTGACTGGAGAAAACAGAAAACGGTCCACTTCCAGGATTGAGCAGAACAGGTGGACGGAAGACCACAAGAAACAGAACGCCCAACAGGCGTCTACACAGCACCAAAACCTGAATCCACAATACTCTCAATGCACATGGAACAGTCTCCATGACAGACCAGGTGCTTGGCCATAAAACATGCCTCAATATATTTAAAAATTAAAAACGGAATTTTATAAAATGTGTTCTCCGATCACAATGGAATGAACTAAAACTCAATAGCAAAAGGAAATTCAGGAAATACACAAACATGGGAAAGTGAACAAGCTCCTAAATAACCAACAGGTCAAAGAAAAAAGTCTTAAGAGAAATTAGATATAACTTGAGACGGACTAAGATAAAAATATATGAGATACAGCTCTTACCAAGAAATTTATAGATGTAAATACCTCCATAAAAAAACCCTTTCATCAATAACCAAAACTTCTAGTTTCTTAAGAACTAGAAAAAAGAGCAAACTAAACACAAATTGATAAGGAAGGATAAATAAGGATCACAGCAGAAATATATGAAATAGAGAACAGAAAAGGAACAGGGAAAGAAAAAAAAAAAAAATCAATGAAACCAAAAGCTGGTTCTCTGAGATCAAAACTCTGACAAATCTTAAGCTGCAGCAACCAAAATACGGACTAAAATTACTAAAATCAGGAACAAAGAGGAAACATTCCTACCAACCTCATATAAATAAAAAGGGATTCTAAGGGAGTACTATGAATAACTATGAATAACTATGTGCCAACATATCAGGTTGCCTGGGCCAAGTGGACAAATTCCCGGAAAGACACAAACTAGTGAAACTGACCCAAGAAGAAGTAAACCACCCAAACAGTCCTGTAACAAGCAGAGATTGGATGAGTCATCAAAAAACTTCCCACAATGAAAAAAAAGCCCAGGACCAGATGGCTTCACTGGTGAATTCTACCAAATATTTAAAGAAAAATTAACACAAGTCCTTTGCAAACTTTTCCCCAAAATAACAAAAAACAGAAACATAAGAGAATACCTCTCAACTCATTCTGTGAGACAAGTGTTAACCTGATACCAAAACCAGGCAAAGGCATCACAAGAAAAAGAAAACTAAAGCCCAATATGCCTTATCAACACAGAAACAGAAGTCCCTAACAAAACACGAGCAAGCCAAATCCACAACATATAAAGATTATATACAGTAAGCAGGTGGGATTTACCCCAGGAATGACAAGCTGGTTTAAAATAAAACAAAATTAGGGGCACGTGGGTGGCTCAGTCGGTTAAGCGTCTGACTCTTGATTTCAGCTCAGGTCATGATCTCAAGGTTGTGAGGTTAAGTCCCCACTGGGCTCCATACTGAGCTTGGAGTCTGCTTGAGATTCTGTCTCCCTCTCCCTCTTCCTCTGCCCCTCCCCTCCCCACATGCACGCACTCCATCTCAGAAACAAATAAAAAATAAAACAAAATTAATCACCATAGTATACTGTAGTAATAGGATAAAGAGCAAAACCCTCAACAGATGCAGACAAAGCACTTGATAAAATCTAACAGCTTTCATGATAAAAAACAGTCAACAAACTAGAAGTAAGTACAGGAAAACTACTCATCCTGGAGAAGGGTCACTATGGAGAACCGAACTTCACACTCAGTGGTGAAAGACTGACAGCCTTCCACCTGATATCAGGAGTGAGACGCAGAGGTCTGCTCTTCACGTCTACTCAGCATTGTACTAGTCAGAGCAACTGCATAAGAAAAAGAAAGAAAGGCAACCTGATTGGACAGAAAAAAGTTAAACTATCTATTTGCAGATGACATGATCCTGTATAAACAAAGTCCTTAAAAAAAAAAAAAAATCGCAAAAAACCATCAGAACTAACAAATGAGTTCAGCTCAGGCTGCAGGATATAAAATGAACATACAAAAATCAACCGTTTTTCTATATACTTGCCATTTACAATCCATGAATGAAATTAAGAAAACAATTCCTCTTAAAGAGCATCAAAAATAAGTACTTAGAATTAACTGAACTGAAGCTATGTAATACTTGTACACGAACACACTACAGAACTTCATTAAAGAAGTGAATAAGGCCTAAATAAATGGAAAGATACCCCTACACATGGATTGGAAAACTTAATCTAGTTAAAATGGTAATATTCCTCAAATTCATCTACAGATCCATGTACTGTCTTCCAAAACTCTAGCTGCTCCTCTGAACAAACTGAAAAGCTGATCCTAAAATTAATAAATAACACAAGGGACGCACAACAGCCCAAAAAACTCCTGAAAAAGAAGAACGAAGTTGGAAGACTCACAGTTTCTGATTTAAGACTTACACAAAGCTCTAGTCATCGAGATAGTGAGGTACTGGTATAAAAGAGAAAACAGAATGCAAACAACAAAATTAAAAGACACAAAAAATCAAAACCCTGAACAGAGCCTCAGGGAACTGTGAGGCAACAACAAAAGGCGAAGGTTTGTGTCATCAGAGTACAGGGGCTGCTCCGAGGGCCCTGTGGCCTCCCACACGTGCACACAGGCCATGTGGACAAAAGCACAACAGACCGTGATCCTCCCAGAACCCAAGGATGGGGGGCCCGAGGTTTCTGAGGCGCCTCCTTCCTGCCCCACGGGAGGCTGCCAGGGACAGTCAGATGAGACGTCTTTCTGATGAGCTACGGAGCTGCCTGCCCACCCCCTCAGAATGTAAAACTGCTTCCAGAAATGGGGCACCTCCCTACGGTCATCCCCGTCCTCCGGCCCCTTGTCTGTGTGACGAGGACCAAGGCTTCTCCTTTTCCCCATCCACTTAAGTAACAAGCTGTCTAAATCTAACAGTGACTTGTTGTGTCTTTACCGACTACAGTCAGCCTCAGCCTTGGCCTTCTATGGCCTGACATGGAGGCCCTGAAGGAGAGGCTGAAAAAGTATTCAAACAAACAATGGCTGGAAACTCCCCAAATTTGGCAACATAAACCTTCAGATTCAAGAAGTCTAGAGAGTTCAGAGAGGATATACCCAAAGAAATCCACGCCAAGACTTCATAATTAAACTTCTGCAAAGACAAAGAAAAATCTTAAAAATAGGCAGAGAAATGAAGCATTATGTACGGAGGTGGGGGACAGACATAACAATCTGAATGACAGTGAATATCTCTACTGAACAGAAGCCCACGAGACACAGATCAACGTCGAATCCGTAATGGGCTACCTGGTACAGCCACAGCAGTCTGACCTGGATGTCCCAGAGGGGCTGGGTGTTCTCAGGCTGTGTCCCAGGCCTTGCCAACTCACAAAAATTCTGACTAGCACCTCACTTTCCTTTTCCCAAGCCTCCAGGTGCTGCCGAGAAACTTTTCTTGTATTGTTCAATTATTAGAATTCAAACTCTTACTCTACAAGGAAAGTGATCTGTTAGAATGTTCTTAAGCAATCAAATTTCTAACAAGATACTTACGGCCATTCTGATTCAGGCTGCTTTTGGTGAGCTTCGATGACATCTATGGCAATGTTCAAATTTTCTTCCAGTTCTTTCATTCTTTCAGAATTCAGGGATGTGAACAAAATCATTGACGAGTAGGCAACAATTTTTTTGTCTGGATGATTTAAGCAAGACCTTCCAAATAAAGAAATGGGAGTGTGAGCCCCATTCAGCAATACAATAAAATATGATTATGATGCATACATAATAATCATCCCATTAACAAACTCAGTGCCTACTGGTGTTTTTAAGGATTTAATGAAGTACAACACCTTGAAACAAGTACACTATTTACTGTAAAAATAGCAATATAAATTGAGTCACAACACAAAGCATCTAATATTAAAGATGCAGCTGACTTACAACTCAAAAGCAAATGCCATCTGATTAAAGAAAAAGATAAAATGATTACATTTATAAAACATTAAAATGTTAACTCCTGTTAGAAAAAAAAAACAAACAAAGGCAAAACATGCTACCTCATTAACAACAGGCATTTCTAGACTAGTTATGAGGGACAGAATGTGTAGAGGAAAGATGTTACCCTGGCAAGAGAGAGAGAGGATGGGGAAGCAAGAGCCCCAGTCGGAGTCCCGCTTCACCACCCATCAGCTGTGTGATCTCAGGAAGGGCACTGATTTATCAACTGTCAGAAATACTATGGGTCACGCACTATGGCAGGATTTGTTTTTTCAGTTAAACTTCATAATACTCTTCTGGAGGAAATATTATCCTTATATTACAGACAAAGACTGTGTTTACTTGCCCGAGGGCACAAGGCCAGTGCCTCCCAAAGCTGGAATTCAAATTTGGTTCTATTTGTCTCACAGATACATGCAGAGTGAAGTCAAATAACCTCTTTCTGTGTGTTTTCTGATATAAAAATGGAATGCAACGACCTCCTTGGCCTATCTCACGGGGCTTCAGTGAGGATCGGATCTGACGCCATCAGTAAAACCACCATGTAAACTGTCACAACTTCTCTGACCACCCTGCTGAAGGGCCTCTCCTCTGTGTTTCTGTGATGTCTGGACTGACCCTCACTGTGTCCGTTCTCACGCTACGGTGTGCTCACCTATTCCTTTATTTCCCCCACTGAAGCATGGGCTTTGGGGAAGTAATAAACATATCTAAATTACCCGTATTCCACTTACCTAGCTCAGAACCTCACAGATATTAGGTATTCAAAATGTTTTAAAGGAATGAATTCTGAAGAATAAGTAATTTCTATTCCTGTAGCTTGAATTCCACAATTCTTTCCTCCCACCTAAGCTTAATTATCCTTAATCATAAGATTTTATGGGGCGCCTGGGTGGCTCAGATGGTTAAGCGTCTGCCTTGGGCTCAGGTCATGATCCCAGAGTTCTGGGATCGAGTCCCGCATCGGGCTCCCTGCTCCTTGGGAGCCTGCTTCTCCCTCTGCCTCTCTCTCGCTCTCTCTCTCTCTGTGTCTCTCATGAATAAATAAATAAAATCTTTAAAAAAAAAAAATCATAAGATTTTATGCTTGCAACTCTATAATTATTTGCAGGAATTTCAGAGCCACCTGTAGACTCAGTGAACCGTATCTGCTTAGATCGAGTTTATCTGATCCGAACATCACCCTTTACGCACAGCCCAGAACACTCTACCACCAGGGAAGACAGCAGAGACTTTCAGCAGCTGCTATCTGAGCAGGTGCAGCCTTTGGATCCAGAGAGCAGCTACACCATTTACCAGCAACATCAGTTCCCCTGCCTGTCCCCAAGGGGACAGCACCACCCGCCCTGTAGGGCTGCTGACTAGGACAGGGATACCGCACAGAGAACGCCCAGCCCAGGGCACAGGAACAACAACTCCTACTCTACTGCTTACATGGTTGCCACAACCAAAGACACCCCACTCGCTGGCAACAGAGCCTGGACGAGAGGCCAGGCCTCCCACTCTCAGTGACTCTCCCATTACCTATCCCTCTTCTGCTACCTGCTCACCTTTTATCTCCATGCTCAACTTCTTACGGACCGGCAATGCTGGCCAAAACAAAATAGTAAATCACCAGGGAAAGCACCATGAACCAATCTAGACAGACTGGTTATCCAGATCTTACAGCTCTCCAGATCTACCAAAACATACAGCCTTGTGCCAGGCATGTAAGAAGCGCTCAACAGGGACGCCTGGGTGACTCCTGATTTCAGCTGAGGTCGTGATCTCAGGGTCACGAGTTCAAGCTCCACGTTGAGCTCCAAGCTGGGCGTGGAGGCTGCGTGAGATTCTCTCTCTCCCTCCCCACTTACCCTCCACCCCATTTTTCCTCCCCCCAATAAAGTAAAGAAGTGCTCAGTAAATGAATGACTAGTTCACTGCCCATACTTCAGTGGTTTATGGCTTTTTTATTATAAATTTGTTTTCTTATCATATATTATAGTAAACTTAGTATTTCTTAATCAAAACTTTTATTTTCTTAAAATACAATTGACATACAATAAAGGGCGTAAAACTTAAGTGTACAGCCCAATAAATTATTAGATACGGATACACCTCCGTAACTACTGGCCAGATCAAGACACAGAACATTCCTAGAACCCCAGGAGATTCCTTCATGACCTCTCCCAGCTTGTACTCAACCCACCACCACCCACCACCACCCACCACTATCCTGAATTCTATCATCAAATGTTAGTTTTTCCTGTTTTTGAACTTCATGTAAATGGAATGATATAACCAGTCTTTTCAGAAGTCAGAAACCGTTTTATCAATATACTCACAAAAAGAGTTCTGGGAAAGCATGCACCCAAACAATAGACTGGGAATCTTCATTCCGTGAGGCAATGTTGCCTAGAAACTGCAGGCCACAGCGAAAAGCTGAGGATTTATAAAAAGTAAAAAAGATATAATTTAAAAATTTTTGACATACTGAATGAACATATCTTAATAAAAAAAATATTCGACATCATTAAACAGGAAGTTTCTGTTAGCTTCTTTACCTATATAAGTCTCTCACTGCAATGAAACTTTGGACATGACAATATTAAAATGCCTTACTAAAACAATGTACTATAGACAAAATTAATTAACTTCTTTAAAAGACCGTAAATGGACACACAAATATACCTCTAATATACATTAAATATCACTGGATTATGTGTTCCAATCAAGAGAGCTACTCTTGGACTGGATTTTATAAAATCTAACTTACTGCTATTGAAAACAAACATCTAAAGCATAAAACTATAGAAATATTTAAAGTTAAAGAATAGCAAAAAGATATATTAGGCAAATAGCAGCCTATAAAGGAAGTCATACACCACTTAAAATGAGACATCATAAACATTAAGGCAAAAAGCATTATTGGAGATTATTATTAAAAGTCATTTCAGGGGCGCCTGGCCAGTTCAATCAGTGGATCATGTGACTCTTGATTTCAAGGTTTTGAGTTCAAGCCCCATATTGGGTACAGAGATTACTAAAGAAAATAAACTTAAAAAAAGAAAGGCCATTTCAGAATGACTTAATTGACCAGGAAGATATAACAATTTTAAATTACAATCACCTAATAATATGGCCTTATACACACACACACACACACACACACAGACACACACACACACACACACACAAAAGAAAAACTGACAAAGCACAGAAGAGAAAAATCCACAATTAAATTTGGCAGTAAGTTATACATCTTTCTGGGTAACATAAATAAGCAGACAAAAAATTAGTATATTTAAAAGATTTTAATAGCATTTAATAACAATCTAGTTGACAGATTTAGACTATTTCACCAAATAAAACTGCAGAATATTGGACAAAACCCAGAATGCTGACAACACCCAGTGCTGGCACAGACGGGGAGCAACAGGAACGCTCATCCACAGCTGGTGGGGACGCAGAAGGGCGCAGCCACTTTGGAGGACAGTTTAGTTCAGTGGTATCTTACAAAACTAAACATACTCTTAATGTATAATCCAGTAATCACAATCCTTGGTATTTACCCAAAGTAACTGAAACCTTATGTCCACAAAAAACCCTACACGTTAATGTTTACAGCAGCTTTATTCATAATTGCCAAGTGAAAGCAACTAAGATATCCTTCCGTAGGTGAATAGATAAACACACTGTAGTCACAGCAGACAATGAAATATTATTCAGCACTAAAAAGAAATGAGTTAACAAACTATGAACAGACATGGAAGAAACTTACACGCACATTAGCAAGTGAAAGAAGTCAATGAAAAGCCCACATGCTGTATGATTCCAACTATGCTGTTCTGGAGAAGGCAAAACTATGGAGACACTACAAGATCCATGGTTGTCTGGGGTGAGGGCAGGGACAGTGAACAAGCAGAGCACAGAGACTGAAAACACTGAAACTACTCTGTGTGATACTATGATGGTGAATACGTGTCACTGCACATAGTTTTGTCCAAACCCATAAAATGTAAAACACCAAGAATGAACTATAATGTAAACTATGAGCTTTGGGTAATAACAATGTAACAAATATGCTACAGGTGACCTCTGAACATGTGAGGGTTAGGGGTACTGATCCCCACACAGTCAAAAATCCACATGTGACTTCTGACTCTCCCAAAACTTAACTACAAATAGCCTACTGTTGATCAGAAGATTTACTGATAGTCTAAATGGTTAACACGTATTTTGTATATTATATATATTATACACTGTATTCTTACAATAAGGCAAGCTAGAGAAAAGAAAATCCTAAGAAGGAGAAAACACATTTACAGTCCTGCTCTGTAACAAATCTGCATATACGTGGAGCTGAGCAGTTCAAACCTATTGTTCAGGGTCAGCTGTCCCTTTGGTGCCAGATGTTGACAGTGGGGAGAAGCTGTGCAGGGGTGGGGGCAGCACGAGAAGTCTCCACACCTTCTCATTTTTGCAGCGAACCTAAAACTGCTCTGAAAAATAGTCTATTTAAAGGAAAGAGAGTAACAGCACAACAGAACTGTTTGGTGACCAGAAAAAGAGACCTACGTGCAAGTCCTACCTTAATGTGAGCCTGTGTGAGTTATCTGACCTTTGTGAGATCCAAGTTCTTCACCATAACATGTGACAGTACCTGTTTTGTAGAGCTATCGTAAGGATGACATGGGAACCCACTAACACTGCTGAGGGTGCAGCAGGGAACACAGAAAAGGCTCAGACAGCCACCCCTCTTCACTAGCACATAATATGTACTTGACAAATGCTGGTTTAAAAAGTCCAGTTTCCAAATGTTACATGAAAACTCATGTTTGTTCCTGTTACATGAAAACTCGTGTTTGTTCCTCTAAACAGACACCCTGAGTGCTTACTGTATAAATCCTTATTGAGAATCCTACTATTGAGACAGGTACTTTCATCCTCATTAGAGAGCACAGGAGACCAAGACCCACAGAGGTTGTAAGGAAGCTGACCGAAGTCACACAGTCATTAAGTATCACAATTCTGGATTTATTTCTGTGATTGTATCAACCCAATGTAGTATTCTGATGCTTAGCAGAATACCCACTGGGTTATACATGAAGTCGATTAGTAAAAAAGGAAAAATTTTTTTCAACTGCAGAATATGCAGTCTTTCCAAGGACATAAGGCATATCATAAAACAGTACTTCACCGTATAATGAAGCAAAAGACAACTCTCAACATGTTTTTATTTATTTATTTATTTATTTATTTTTTAAGATTTCATTTATTTGTCAGAGAAAGAGAGAGAGCACAAGGCGGGGAGTGGCAGGCAGAGGGAGAAGCAGGCTTCCCACTGAGCAAGGAGCCCGATGTGGAACTTGATCCCAGCACGCTGGGATCATGACCTGAGCCAAAGGCAGATGCTTAACTGACTGAGCCACCCAGGCATCCCTCAACACATTTTTAAAAACTGATATACAGATAATGCTCACTTACTACATTGCACTTATGTTTATATACAATTACTTGGAGGAAATAAGCCCCAAAAATGATTAGAAAATCCCCACGTGTTTAAAATTAGAAGACAGATCCTAAATAACCTATGGGGACAGAAAAAAAATCACAATGGAAATACAATATTTGAAACCAAATGTCAACAAAGATACCAGAAACCAAAGCTTCTAGATGCAGCTAACACTGTACACAGAGGAATATTCATACTTTAAAACACATACTTTGGGAAAGAAGAATAAAGAAAATAAATGAGCTAAAAATTTGCTTCAAGAAATTACAAAAATAATAAAACAACCCAAAACAGTGAAGGAAGAAAAAAAGATTAAAAGCAAGAAGTTATTAAAATTGAAAGTAGTCATAAAAAGAGAATACTGAGATCCGAAATGTGACTTCAAAAAGCTCAGTACTGACTAACCTTTGGGAAAACTGATCAAAAAGGAGAAAAGGCACGAAGAACAAAGACATTAAATTTTCAGAAATGACAAAGAGGACATGGCCATGGATCTTGCAGACATCAAAAAAGAAAGTCAGAAAATACTGCAAATACCTTTAGGCCACACTGTTTGAAAATTTAAATGAAATGAACAAAACCCTAGAACACGGCTAACAAAAATCGCCTCCGTAAAAAATTCAGGGAATGCCTGCAGAGTCATACCATTAAGGTCATCGAACCAGCAGTCAAAAATTTTCCCACAAAAAAAAAAAAAAAAAAGATCCTAGACCCAGGCAGCTTTATTGCCCATTCACATTCAAGGAAGAAATCATTTGATTTTACACAAGTCTTCCAAAGAACAGAAGAAGAGAGAGTAGACCCTAAAACCGACTTGGTGAGGCTCACGTAACTGTGATACCTGAGTCAGAACAAGCACAGCAGGAACAAGGAAGCGAACAGAATGTAAAAAATACTAAAAATGTATTTCAAACTGAATCCAGTCACATTCAGCATGATGAAGCTGAGAGTACCCCTGCACTGCAAAGCTACCTTAATGTTACAGTTAGAATCTGTAACTGATAACATTAACCTACAGAGGGCAGAGCCCTATGATCATCTAGAGTACAGCAGGGAATGTATGTGATGAACCTCAACACCCACTCACAGTTTCAAACAACAAACAAAACAAAACAACTCCCAGCCACCAAAGACTACAAGAGAGCTTCTGTATCTAACAAAAAATCTACAGCACATATTATAATGAATAGTCAACTGGAGAGAGCGTTCCTTCTGAAAGGGAAGGAGACAGAAATATCTGCTATCACCATTTCCAGTCAACTTTCTACTGAAAATCCAGGCCAGTAAGACAAAGGACGGCCAAACATTGGAAGACACTAAAGTTTTTTTCTCCACAGTTGAAGTGTCATTTCTAATGTATGTGGAAAGTATTTTCAAGTGTAAAAGTTGTTTGTCTGAATTAATAAGAGTCACAAAAATTGCTGGATACAAAGTCAATATTTAAAAAGTCAACGGGGCACCTGGGTGGCTCAGTCAAGCGTCTGACTTTGGCTCAGGTCATGATCTCAGGATCCTGGGATCAAGCCCTATGCTGGTTCCCCATTCAGCAGGGAGTCTACTTCTCCCTCTCCCTCTGCTTCTCCCCCTACTCGTGCACACACGCTCTCTCTCTCTCTCAAATAAATTCTTTTAAAAAATAAAACAAAAAAATTTTAAAAATTAAAAAATCAGTAATATTTCCATATATATAGGGAACAAGCAAAAAAGAAAAAAATCAAGAAAGGAGGCCATATATGAAAGCATCAAAAATGTAGCTAAAAGTGACGTACAGTGCCACTAAGAAAAAAAATTCTAACACTTGACTGAGTGAAGAATTACACCATGTTCACAGATTAGAGGAATCCATTTTTCTCTAGAGATTAAATGCAATCTGAGTTTGAATCCCAACAGTGTGTGTGTGTAGGTGTGTGTGTATGTGTATGTGTGC